TATATTTTATTGCAAAAAAACTTGAAGCAGTATATATAATCAAAGTAACTTACATACATATAACATTAGGTTAAATAAAATACAACTAACCGACTTTAGTTAAGCAAAATAATAAAAAATAAGTCGATAGTAGATCAATCCCTCAGTTTTCCACATACTCATTTTACTAAAGTTGGTAGAAATATATTTTCTTACAAAGAACCTTAAGCACTATGTAATATCAATAAAATTCATATGTATATATTATTAAGAAGGCCATGGAATCCATGTCAAACAAGGTAATCGTGACTTTTGACGTTATTTGACCATTTTCTTTAAAATCGTTGTGTTGTACAATTGAAAAATGGAGCGGTTTGAGAAATACGTTTTATGCAAGTTTTGCAAAAAAGTTAGTGAAATTAAAATGTATCATCGGAACCTAAAATTTTTAATGTATTTATTACAAGAATGCGGGCCAGAAATTTATTCGCCAAACTTGTTTGGGATTATTAAAAATCATTTGCTTCTTGTGTGTAAGAAATATGGAGCTCTTCGTGGATCACAGCAGAATAAGATTGTTTCAAAGTACTACATTTATTTTTTGAAACATAGACATTTTCTAAATTTTAGTGAATGTGTGCTTGTTTATTCCCCATTAAGAAAAGAAGACGTGGCTGAGGAATTTCAGCAACATTTGGACGCTTTAATTAAAACTACTAAAAGTACATACTTGGTAAATAAACTAAACTAAATTTTTTCCTTTCCCATCTATTCTAAGAAATCGTACCCCTTTAGATGTCCTCATGTACCCCTCGTTGAATACACTGCTCAAAGGTGATGCTCGTGAGCTCTATATTATTGAAAAAAATATGCTGTAAATGATAACTAGACAGAATTATAAAAAATATTATGGAACCTTGGACAAATATACAGGGAGATTCACAATTTATCCAAAAAACTTTGGAGATATTCACCAAAAGTAAAAGAAATGTTTGAAGTTTTTAATGAGTATGCACTACTGCGGTTTTCATAGTGTCTTATTACTGTTTATATGTAAAATTAATGTATGCTGTTTTAATTTATGGCGAAATATGACAAAATGCATTAACAGCGCTTTGCTTGTATGCATAACGTTTTCCGGCTAAATATATGCCAAATACTATTACCTTAATGGTTGTGGTAAACGAGGGCGTGACAGTGGAAATCTTTGCCTGAATCTCGGAGGAGGTGGAGGAGACAGGGGTTCACTTCATTTTGTAAAAACCGAGGAATGAATTTTAAATGCCGTGGAAGAAATTTCGCTTATAACGCCTCTTGTTCCATAACCGATATAATCACCATATCTACATCAATATTGTAGGCGTTGTAAGTTTAAGAAAACACTCTGTATAACACCAAAATGTGTAGATTGAAAGCAAGAGTCCACACCCCAAAAATAATCGAAATCAAATATTACGTTTTCGAGTTATTTACAAAATTCAATAAATTTTATCGAACTTTGAGGCCATCTAGCGGCCAAACGAAGCGATTTCGGATATAGTTGAATTAGCCTAAATCTGCCTATTTTGTGTCCACGAATCTGTGGTCTTCCGTTGTACACGTTTTTCCTTGTTTTGGAACAGTTTTGGTTGACTTGTTTATTAATTAATAGATAAATTAAATTTTAATTATTGTGACAAGAAGAGGAAATTTTTAGTATTTGGCGTAACAAATTTCTGCAACAAGTTATTATTAATTCAGAAAAAGATAACTGTGTTTGTTCTGCTGTCTGTATTTTTCTCATTAATTACAATTGATCTATGTGTATAGTTATTTAGTGACTACACTTTTATATTTTGTATTTCAAAAGTTACCATTAAACCTTAAAATACTTACTAGCATATTTATGTAAAATAAAATTCAGACATAACNTTTAATGTATGTTCGTAATATTCACTTTTTTATGCTGTTTACGTTATATTTGTCTGAATGTGTTTTTTTAGCTTTAGTGTAGTATCGCTTATATGTTGTATCTTTCGTGTTTTTCTTTCTTTGACTTGTGTAAACATTTTAATGTATAGACACCAATAAATGATTTGATTTGATTTGTATAGTGTGTGTGCGAGCACTGTGTGATTCCGACTTGCTGAAACAATTTCAGATTGAATCGGTACCTATATCATTTATTTACAGTAATATTATTAATATAACAATAATAATAATCACAATTACAAACTTTGAACTGAGTTTAATGAAATGAATAATAATTTTTAAAATCTGGTTCATTGGTACATAATTCTTACAGCAATTCATGTGAATGTAGGTAAATATTTTCAATAAAATTTAGATATAGATAAGTAATGATACAAGAGAAATTTGAATTTGTTTATTAGCATATAGATATTGGATCTGGATTAAGTCTTCATTTTTTAAATGAAAAACTAATTAAAATTGGCGAAATATATTGGAAACAAATTGAATTAACTAAACTTTTTCCGTTCCCATTTATTCTAAGAAATGTATGCAGAACGTTTTCCGGCTAAATATATGCCGAATATTAATATCTTAACTGTTGTTGTAAACGAGGGCGTGACAGTGGAAATCTTTTACTGAATCTCGGAGGAGATGGAGGAGACAGGCGTTCACTTCATTTTGTAACACCCGAGGAATGAATTTTGAATGCCGTGGAAAAAATTTCGCTTATAACGCCTCTTGTTCCATAACGGATATTATCACCATACCTACATCAATTTTGTAGGAGATGTAAGTTTAAAAAACACTCTGTATAACACCAAAATGTGTAGATTGAAAGCAAAAGTCCACACCCCAAAAATAACACAGGACCACAAAAAAAAATCGACTTAAGGACTCCTCGGCCAAACCTATCGTATTATTTGTTTTTTGGGTTGCTGAAACCGAATCTGCAACTCACTTGGTCCCATCACGTCAGAGTTTTTTTTTACCTTCAAACATTTGTTGAAAATTTTTGGATTTCACCAAATTCACCCTTGCACCTTTTTAAACCTTTTTACTTTCCCTTCTTTTTTTTCCGGACGGGGTTGGCCAGGCGTTAAATTGTTACTTGGCACCGTTAAAATTCCTTACCTTCAATTTTGGTTGGGTTGAAATCCCAAAACCCCAAATTAGGCGGGGATTAACTTTGCCCTTGGGGCCCAACCTTTCTTTTTTGATTGTTAACCCTTTTTACCTTAAACCCCGGAACCCCATAACCTGAAAATTCGACCAGGCCTCAATCTGAAACCTCAAAACCCCGAAGCTGAATAATCCTAAAATCCCAAAACTTCCAAACCAGGGCCGGCATTAATAAGGGTGAGGGTGGTGATCACTTCGAGCGCCACATATGAGCAGCGAGACACACACTTCGAACAAACCCTGGATGAAGCTAAATCTCTAAACCCGAGTTCCCAAACCCACAAAGCCCAAGTACAGTAAGATCTCTAAACCCGGGCTCCCAAACTCACATACCTTGGGTACAGCAAACCCTCAAACCCAAGATCCTAAACCCACACACTCTGGTCGTGGCGAGATCGGTGTTTGTTACAAAGAGGATAAAGAAGCAAATGGAGCTTAGTATCAAACCTAACCTTGCAAACTCTAACACTCTCTTGTTTCACCTAGGGTATGAGGGTGTGGAAGCTTGGCTTCATGAGTCCCGCCAAAGGCCTGTGTGATGGAAGCGTAGATATTGCTGCGCCCAAGGTACGTTGTGCTCAGGGTATGTGGGTTTGGGATTTTAGGTTTAGGGACCTACTGCGTAGGGTGCCACTAGGGTATGTGAGTTCGGGTGCTTAAGTTTATGAGTTTCGGCCAGTGGCTTCTTTATTCGAAGTGTGTATCTCCCTGTTCATGTGTGACGCTCGAAGTGATCGCCACCCTCATCCTTATTAATGCCGGCCCTGGTTTTGAAGTTTTGGGGATTTGGGGTTATTCAGCTTCGGGGTTTTGAGGTTTCAGATTAAGGCATTGTCGAGTTTTCAGGTTATGGGGTTTCGCGGTTTTAGCTTAAAAGGTTTACTATTCAAAAATGAAGGTTTGTGCTCTATGTGTAAGTTTATTCGCTGCTTATTTTGGGTTTTAGGGTTTATTTGGGCTCATCCAATTTTGAGGTTATGTATTTTTACGGTTGCGAGATATCATTTTACGGCTTGTCGAGCTCGTTCGAGATCATAAGGATGTGAAAACCTTATAACTCGGTTTTAACAGGTTGCAGGGTTGATTTTGTTGAATTCTACCAATTCTCAGCTATTTTTTGAGGTTAGAAAAAAACTGACGTGATGGGACCAAATGTGTTGCAGATTCGGTTTCAGCGACCCAAAAAACATATAATACGATAGGTTTGGCCGAGGAGGCTTTTCGTCGATTTTTTTTGTGGTCCTGTGAATCGAAATCGAATAATACGTATTCCAGTTATTTACAAAATTAATAAAATTTTATCGAAGTTCGAGGCCATCTAGCGGCCAAACGAAGCGATTTCGGATATAGTTGAATTAGCCTAAATCTGCCTATTTTGAGTCCACGAATCTGTGGTTTTCCGTTGTACACGTTTTTCCTTGTTTTGGAACAATTTTGTTTGAGTTGTTTATTAATTAATAGATAAATTAAATTTTAATTATTGTGACAAGAAGAGGAAATTTTTAGTATTTGGCGTAACAAATTTCTGCAACGAGTTTTTATTAATTCAGAAAAAGATAACTGTGTTTGTCCTGCTGTCTGTATTTTTCTTATTATTTATAATTGATCTATGTTTATAGTTATTTAGTGACTACACTTTTATATTTTATATTTCAAAAGTTTCCATTAAACCTTAAAATATTTACTAGAATATTTATGTAAAATAAAGTCAGACATAACAGTTGTAAATAATTAATGTATAGAAATGTTTCAAAACGATTACAATTTGCATAATAAGAGAAAAATAACAGGTGTTTTATGAAATCTTTATGGAGAAAATTGCAAGAAGGACGTCGTTAAAGACACTCAATTACATGACAAATCACTGTTGTACTTAGGGTCTATTCGGTTTATATTAATATATCAGTTTGATTTCTGCAACAGCTGTAAACAGAATGGTAAGTGTAATAAGTTGTTCATTTTCAAAACAAGACAAAAAATTATGAAGTCATATTAAATGGTCAGTGAAAAATCGTTATTTAATTTAAAATTGAAATTTAAACGAGTTAATTCAACATAGAGATTATTCTATTTTATTAAAATGTAAAATTAATATACACTAAAAACATAAATCAGTATAGTCAGTTCGAACCTGTATCTATCCTTCTATTTAATTGTATTATAAAACGTACTGAAACAACACATTTCCACAACTACTCGTTCTATTCATGTACCTCCTCCTACAACAAATAAAAGTAATATTTTTTAATGCAATTCCACTTTTTAACATTGTAGATCTTTCCGAAAAACGAACACCTGAAAATAACGATGTACATAAGCGCAGTGCTAGGAGTATGGCCATTTATATTCGAAGACAAACCAGTTTTAAGGAAAATATACGACGTTTACTCCAAATGCATTTTCTGTTACTACCTACTCTACGTTCTTGCCGCTATAATCCAGCTCTTCATCATCGTCACCGATGAGGTGTTGGATGTGGATGAAATAGTCGCTAACCTTTGCATAACACTACTAAACTTTGTAGCAATATTGAGAGTCAAGGCCATCAAGACGGAGAGAGTAAAGAATATCATTCAGAATGTATTCAAGTTGGAAGAAAAGATGATGAACAGTGGAAATGACGAAATAATTGAAATATATAACCGGCATGCAAGGCAGAACCAAACATGTAATAAAATATTTCTTGTTAATCTCTACTTGGGTGAGTTGCTGTTATATTTTTATTGGTATGTTGTTTTCCATCGGTTCTTGTTATTGACAATTGTGTATTTTTAGTTGATATTTTGTACTTTATACACCCCTTGTACGTGGAAGACACCATAAAGTACTACCCCAACAGAAACGAGACGGTAGTCATCAAAGCTTTGCCTTTGAGCACTTGGTATCCATTTGACCAGCAAAAGCACTATGTCCTTACTTATCTCTGGGAAGAGATGGACGTTTTCATGGCCACCACTTTTATTGGCTGCTCAGACATCTTCGCGTTTAGTCTCATAATATTTGGTGTGGGCCAAATTAAGATTCTGAAGTTGATTCTTTCCAATTTTCAAGAGTTTGCGATGAATATAAAGGATCAGTTACACTGTAGTCAGGAAGAAGCCAGCTATATCACCCTCAGGGAGTGCATACTGAAGCACCAAGAAATTATCGAGTAAGGCAAAACATTTTGAGCAAATCAAATTACGTTATATTTACTTCTTTTCTATAACGTGATCAAATGGTATTGTTATGGAATTGTATGGTTTTCATTTTTGAATTAATATGACAACTTAATGAAAAGTAAATTAATTTTCAGATACATAAATGAATACAACTTAATAATGAAGAATATAATGGTTTTAGATTTTTTACTGAGTTCTGTGGAGTTAGCTTCTGGAGTACTAACTTTGCTTGTGGTAAGTGACGTCAATTTTAGATGTTTCATAAAAGTAAACAAAGGGATCACTTTTATATCGGCTAATTATGGGAAATAGGAAAATACCGCTGCATTTAATTATTGATTATATAAAATGTAAGCGACTGTAGAACAAACTTTCAATACTGTTTCTCTGGTATAAAGAAAAAAAGTCAAAATTTATGGTTATTTCCTAACAAGAGTCCTAATCTCTATCTACAATTCAACTTATAGACTTCAAACTTGGTACAGTCCAATTGTTTAGTAGATTGTCCTCCAATAATATCACTCAAAAAACAAAATTTTGTTTACCTTCTGCTAACCGTAGCTCTAACCTTTACCAAAAGCCCACAAAAGGATCCTGACCTACAGCCTACGCTGGAAAAGCGGCTGTTCGCACATTTTTGCACTCACGCAGAAAGTAACTTGCTAAACTTCAACCTTTCCATAACGTGTTACTTCTAACTGCTAAGAAATTAAAACAGTGTAATCGACTTTTACATACGATCCTGCTTGTCACGGTTTTTGAACTAGTCTTAAATAGTCGACTTTATGAAGAAAAGAAAAAAGCTTTCATTAAAAATGGGTTAGCTAAATTTGTAAAAGAAGATAATCTGGGAATGGCTATTCTCTAATCTTGGCTATTGAAGTCCCTCAGACCTTTCATAATTCCGATGCCACTCTACGAATTCATTTATTAGAATTTGCAAATATGGTACAATGTACATACAGTTACTATGAACGTTGTCGTCACTTTATCTCGCTTGTAGAAACAACGCAGTGCACGGCTTTGTCGGGATACCAAGCGTCACAAGGAGGCAAACCATTTAATAATAAAGTAACTAACACCACTGATAAGCTAATGCTAAAATTTTATATGAAACTGAAGTGTACCAAAATTGAGGGATATATCTTCAACCAATCAATAGTTTTTAAATGACTGATCCAAATCCGTTTGTTCTTATTTCGGAGAGATATCAGAAGAATTGTCACAAGTAAATACTTCGTAAGCATAAAATGTAGTGTATACGATTAATAAAAATCGTTTGAGCAAGACCATATTGGTTCTTGTTATGAGCATATTTTAATGTCCAGTACCCAGAGCAATTAATTAGAAATGATTTAATAGAAGCAAACTAAGCAGGATAATACCTGCTTTGCATTGGAGTGTCGGCTTCTTTGCAGAATACATTACATTACTTTACAGAATATATACCTACTAATTGCAAGTATATAGTTTTTCATACACCATTAAGATTTTTATTGACCTCCTTCATCTATGTCATCGTATAAAAATTTAAATATTTTTTTTCCCGAACTGAAGATAATATCTTCTAAATTGTAGAGGCCCATAACTGTGCATATTTTGTTTATCTGAATTAATAAGTGTTAATTTGCTGTAAATTTATAACCCAATTTTCCTTTTTCAGACGGAAATGACTCTACCCAACACTATATACAGCAGTCAGTTAGCTTTTAGCTTGTTTCTTAGAGTACTAGTGTACTATTGGTATGCCAACGAAATAATGGTACATGTACGTACTTATTCAAATAGAAAATAATGAATTTTCAATTTATTAATAAATTTCTTTTAATAATATTTTGTATTTAATTTTCAATTGCTTTAAAAACTATCGTGTAATTTTAATATTTTATTTTCTTTACAAAATTTCAAGGGATCTGAAATAGGAATGGCTTTATGTAACAGCAATTGGTATGAGGAATCCGAAAGAGTGCAAAAAATGATGGTTATTATGCTGATGAGGTGCAACAGGGAACTGTATCTAGAGATTGGACCATTTGCCGCTATGACTTTGAGAACTTTTCTAGGGGTAAGTAGAAGAGAGCAATAAGAAATTGGAAATCACTTTTATAACATAAATGAGATATGGCACGGTGCTCCTGAAATTTTCGAGTCACTCCAAAATAATAAGATTTCCTGTTTCTACAATACTTGAACATCATTTTAAGCCCTGAACCAAAATATTTGGTGTGGCGCTTTTTTTTCCGATGGCAAAATAAGAAATTTGATATTTTTCATGTAGGTAACTATAAAAATTTTACTTCAAAAATCAAAAAGAGAGTTGTAAATTATTTTAACAAAGTGAAAACTATTGATATGGACGGTATCTGAGTATGATAGGTTTTCAAATAAATGTATATTGATTGTTAAAAAATATTTGTGACTTTCCATTCTGTAATTTGAAAACAATTTAAAGTATTTACCTATGTTTTATATCCTAGGTACTCAAAGCAACATATTCCTACATAACGGTTATCTATTGATGAATGCACACGAAGAAGGATTCTCCATTAAAGTCAGTTATAATTATTTTGCGAAATACTCACACTAAGGCACATATATAGTTTACAAGCATTTTAACGAGAAAACTTTGCACTGTAAGACTTTATATTAGTANGTGGAAGACACCATAAAGTACTACCCCAACAGAAACGAGACGGTAGTCATCAAAGCTTTGCCTTTGAGCACTTGGTATCCATTTGACCAGCAAAAGCACTATGTCCTTACTTATCTCTGGGAACAGATGGACGCTTTCATGGCCACCACTTTTATTGCCAGCTCAGACATCTTCGCGTTTAGTCTCATAATATTTGGTGTGGGCCAAATTAAGATTCTGAAGTTGATTCTTTCCAATTTTCAAGAGTTTGCGATGAATATAAAGGATCAGTTACACTGTAGTCAGGAAGAAGCCAGCTATATCACCCTCAGGGAGTGCATATTGAAGCACCAAGAAATTATCGAGTAAGGCAAAACATTTTGGGCAAACCAAATTACGTTATATTTACTTATTTTCTGTAACGTGATCAAATAGTATTGTTAAGGAATTGTATGGTTTTCATTTTTGAATTAATATGAAAACTTAGTGAAAAGTAAATTAATTTTCAGATACATAAAGGAATACAACTTAGTAATGAAGAATATAATGGTTTTAGATTTTTTACTGAGCTCTGTGGAGTTAGCTTCTGGAGTACTAACTTTGCTTGTGGTAAGTGACGTAAATTTTAGTTGTTTGATAAAAGTAAACAAAGGAATCACTTTTATATCGGCTAATTATGGGAAATATGAAAATACCGCTGCATTTAATTATTGATTATACAAAATGTAAGCGACTGTAGAACAAACTTTCAACACTTGTTTCTCTCGTATAAAGAAAAAAAGTCAAAATTTATGGTTATTTCCTAACACGATTCCTAATCTCTATCTACACTTCAACTTATAGACTTCACACTTGGTACAGTCCAATTATTTAGTAGATTGTTTTCCAATAATATCACTCAAAAAACAAAATTTGGTTTACCTTCTGCCAACCGTAGCTCTAACCTTTACCAAAAGCCCACAAAGGGATTCTGACCTACAGCCTACGCTGGAAAAGCGGCTGTTCGCGCACATTTTTGTACTCGCACAGAAAGTAACGTGCTAAAATTCAACCTTTCCATAACGTGTTACTTCTAACTGCTAAGAAACGGTTTCACGGTTTTTGAACTAGTCTTAAATTGTCGAAGTTATGAAGAAAAGAAAAAAGCTTTCATTAAAAATGGGTTTGCTAAATTTGTAAAAGAAGATTATCTGGGAATGGCTATTCTCTAATCTTGGCTATTGAAACCCCTCAGACCTTTCATAATTCCGATGCCACTTGTTGAAGCAAAGAAATGTCAAATACTTTCACTTTACGAATTCATTTATTAGAATTTGCAAATATGGTACAATGTACATACAGTTACTATGAACGTTGTCGTCACTTTATCCCGCTTGTAGAAACAACGCAGTGCACGGCTTTGTCGGGATACCAAGCGTCACAAGGATGCAAACCGTTTGGCAATAAAGTATCTAACACCACTGATAAGCTAATGCTAAAATTTTATATGAAACTGAAGTGTACCAAATTTGAGGGATATATCTTCAACCAATCAATAGTTTTTGAGTGACTGATCCAAATCCGTTTGTTCCTATTTCGGAGAGATATCAGAAGAATTGTCACAAGTAAATACTTCGTAAGCATAAAATGTAGTGTATACGAATAATAAAAATCGTTTGAGCAAGACCATATTGGTTCTTGTGATGAGCATATTTTAGTGTCCAGTACCCAGAGCAATCAATTAGAAAAGATTTAATAGAAGCAAACTAAGCAGGATAATACCTGCTTTGCATTGGAGTGTCTGCTTCTTTGCAGAATACATTACATTACTTTACATAATATACATACCTACTAATTGTAAGTATATAGTTTTTCATACACCATTAAGATGATACATACAACCAATACCTACCATCCAGCGGCCTAGCAGCTTTGTTACTGAAATCATATTTAAATAATCGCAATCAATTTATTTCCATTAATGATGGTAATTCTAACATTCAATTAGTTCGATATGGAGTACCTCAGGGTTCCGTACTAGGACCACTTTTATTTTTAATTTATGTCAATGATTTTATACATTTTATGTCGCCAAAAAAATGTATTATCTTTGCTGATGATACAACTCTGTTTAATACAAAAAATTACAGTTTAGAATCCCTGATGGACTCTATGTCGGTTACTGATATGAGATGGCAAAAAACTGGTTTTCTGCAAATAATTTAACCATCAACCCAGAAAAAACTCAGAAATTGTTTTTGTCTAATAAAATGACCAAACATAATAATAATAATTCATTGCATGTGTTGGGAGTGGATATTGATTCAGGTTTATCCTGGAAAGATCATGTAAATAACCTCTGTGTAAAGTTGTCAAGTATAATATTTTTATTTAGACAGTTACGTATGCTCGTAAATAGTGATATCTTACGTGGTATCTATTTTAGTTTATTTCATTCACGCATTTCATACGCTGTCGTTTTGTGGGGTAATTCCAGTGCGGCCGGAAAAGTTTTTCGTCAACAAAAGAAAATAATTCGTATTTTAGCCATGGCTAATCACCGCGATCACTNTATTTTTCCCGAACTGAAGATAATACCTTATAAATTGTAGAGGCCCATCATTGTGCATATTTTGTTTATCTGAATTAATAAGTGTTAATTTGCTGTAAATTTATAACCCAATTTTCCTTTTTCAGACGGAAATGACTCTACCCAACACTATATACAGCAGTCAGTTAGCTTTTAGCTTGTTTCTTAGAGTACTGGTGTACTATTGGTATGCCAACGAAATAATGGTACATGTACGTACTTATTCAAATAGAAAATAATGAATTTTCAATTTATTAATAAATTTCTTTTAATAATATTTTGTATTTAATTTTCAATTGCATTAAAAACTATCGTGTAATTTTAATATTTTATTTTCTTTACAAAATTTCAAGGGATCTGAAATAGGAATGGCTTTATGTAACAGCAATTGGTATGAGGAATCCGAAAGAGTGCAAAAAATGATGGTTATTATGCTGATGAGGTGCAACAGGGAACTGTATCTAGAGATTGGACCATTTGCCGCTATGACTTTGAGAACTTTTCTGGGGGTAAGTAGAAGAGAGCAATAAGAAATTGGAAATCACTTTTATAACATAAATGAGATATGGCACGGTGCTCCTGAGCGAATTTAAATGAAATTTTCGAGTCACTCCGAAATAATAAGATATCCTGTTTCTACTTTAACAAAGTGAAAACTATTAATTAAACCAGTATATATATATATTGTTATAATATAACGAGAACCAAGTACTCAAGTACATGAAAATTACAAAATCAAAATGTTGAGAGGTAAAACTCTATCAACAGGGATGTGTCACACGAGATAATTATGAAAGGAGAAATATAATTTAGTACATAGTATGAGTTTTATACACAAAAATGCAAAGATCGCTACCTGAGAA